AGTACATACACCTTACAATTTAGTGGAATAAAATTCCAAAGCATAACATAATTCATTGACCTTCCCAACACCCATACACAACCCACATAAATGTCTACGGAGCCTCTAAGTAGATACAAAATAATGTGCTACAAAAGTGCCGGCAACAAGACCCCAACTATACCTCAAAATATGATAAGAAGGTAAACATAAGGTACAAAAGATATAGGACCCCAGGACAATGTGGGGCTCACCAAGTCGACTGGAAAGGAGATGCGCCACTAGCTACGATCAACACTATCTTCTACGGAACCACCTACATCCATTTAAAAATGTAGCACCCCCAACAAAAGGGACGTTAGTACTGTCGAATAGTACTAGTATGTAAAGCTAAACATCAATCTTAATAGAACGAACAACGAAATAAAAGGGGGAGTTGTCATGATATGCAACAAGAGCTTCAAACACATATGAAAAACATCAAGTAAGGATCACACAATATCCGGTTAGGTTTCCATCTTATTTATGTTTGATAATCTCAGTGCCATGTGCCACAATCCACAATACCAACGTATTCCTACACGGAGTCCGATCTCGACCCGACCGGCTAGGTCATCTCATTTGAGACATCAACTACTTCCACAATTTCAATCAGTCAATCTAGCACAATTACCACCATATGTGCTGCATGGTGTTCGATCACGGCCCCATCGGCTAGGCCATCTCACTTGAGACATCATCCTTTCAATCGTTCATCTCAATTCACATTTCCTTCCCATCTTTCATTACATGGCACGAGTAGCCTCATTTATTAGATCGTTCTTGGCACTTGGTCGTATCTTACATACATTTCAAGTTTCTTTTTACACATTCAATCAACATTACATCAACATCAATAAAGCCTATTATGTAAGTCATGCATATATATAGGGAAGGCATAGAAAATTCTAATCATACGGAGGCTTTTCATACAAATAGCATAGCAGATTTTATTCGATTCTTGACCTTTCTCAACACATATATTCCACATTTTGAACACATTCTCAAATAGCATAACGACATGATAAACATTTAGAACAATCATTGAACATGAATCTTTCAACACAGCATATTAGGACAAACGACTCTAGTATGATCAATTTAGGGACTTACACTAATTACACATACACCAGAAGTTCGATTCTAAGAAGGAGGGGGTTTAGCCATACATACCTCAATTGAGCTTTTCCTTAATTCCTACAATGTTCCGGAATATTCGCAACTTCAATCTATTTTAGCATTGCAGCACAATTGAACCCACAATTAGGAAAATGATCAAAATCTTAGCTCACTTGAGCATTTTATCAAACATTATGCGTTCATTAAGTTTTTATGGTCCTTTTATGGAAGATTACCCCAACCCATTTCCCATGCTTCTCTATCTTTGATTTATAATTTCCCCATATCTTCTAAGAACGCATGAATGCAATGTAATCACCCTCATCCCCATGAATTATCTCACTAATGACCCCTTATAGCTATGCTTGAATTTTAAGAGCTGAGGTGAAGAAGCCTTATCTCCTACGATGAAGATTTAGGTGCCTCGCTTGAATATCTTCAAAGTTTAAACAAGAATTTGAGGAGCAATTTTTGATGAAGGATACTTTCTCTCTCTTAGACCCTCTTTATAACTCTAAAAGTACCATAAAATGAGCCATTGTATAAGTTATAACGACAAGGGATCGTGTTTAAAAATTAGAAATCTGGGGCTCCGATACGGATCTGCGATTGCATATGCGACCACATAACGGTTATGTGGCCCGCAAAGTGACCGCAAAAGTAGCCCTTAGGGGCTTGAAGTTTCTGCCCAGGTCTACAACCAGTATGCGATCCGCATACCTATTTTGTGGTTACATAATACATCTCAGAACTTCCCTTCGCAAAAGTCCAAGACGATTATGCGATCAATATGCGGCCCGCAAAGCGATTATGCGATCGCATAATTGGCCGCATAACTGCCCTCAAAATTGGCCAAATTTTCTGCCTCACTCTGCGACCAAGATGCGGTACGCAGAGTGATTATGTGGTCGCATAATGGGCCGCATAAACGAATTCTTCTGCGAATATTTTCCTTTAACTTTTTAATGCATAGTTCAATCCAGAAAGTCCGAACCGCGGCGAGAATTTTCATAAATCTCTAACACATAATCCTAACTTGGCACCACAATATCTCGGTTTCTAGGAAAATTTTTACGGGGCCTTACAGTTGCAACTCACGAAAGGCCACGTTTCCACCCCGTCCAAAACATTATTACTCGACCTGCTCGCCTAAACTTCTCAACTATAATAGAGTCCACTCATTGAGGTCGCCAGGGTGACCTCAATAAGCGGACGAACTAACTGTATAGGTCAAAATCTGCCTCAAGGAGATTTAACGTGAAATGGTATTACGAAAAGTAAGGTGATCGAGGTCGACTAGTAAACAGTGGGGGTCATAGCCGTGCAGTCAATAACGACCGAGGTCAAGTATCAAGAGCAGTAGTAATGGCTAGTTTTGTAATAGGATCTTTAGGAGAATTGAATATTCTCCGTACTTGTACTTTTAGGGTTGACTGGGGGTATGTCCCATATAAATAGAAAAACAGATAAGCGGAAAGACATGTAATATTGATTTGATAAGAACACTTTTTGAGAAGAAGACTCTCACTCTCTAGAAAAGATACAAACATTACATTTCTAATAAGATTCTTCCTTCCATTATTCCATACTTTTCCATCAGATCCGAGAATAGTTCTAATATTCTAGGATTTGTCTGTCACTCATCACTGTTAGAAAGACGAATCATCCACCTCATTCAATATTGGGTGAATCTTTCTCATCATTTATGTTAATGTCATTTATTGTCATTTATTGAATGATATCCTCTTATCATGACTGAAGCTTTTCGGAATATTAAATGCATATTGCATTTAGTCCCCTATCAACATTGTCTTGCAATATTTGTGTTAACAAGTTATAAATCTAGAGATATTATCATTAACTTGGTTTAACCCCTTGTTAAATAAAATTAATTAGTTTAATCAAAGGCTTATACTTTTTGGTCAAACAGATTAAGCGTCGGTCGGACTCCCCAAGGTCGGGGCGTGACATTATGGATGAGGTGCGAGACATATATTCATTACTTTTTAACTATATATTAATATGGGTGCTCGATCTTTAGTTTTCTTGTTATTATACATTAATTTTAGATCACAATCCTATATTAAATTTAGAATCCATAAATTTTATATTCTAGCTCCACCTCTACTTCTACCTCCGTCCCTGTATTCAATGGAAATAACAATAGTAGTCTAGAAGTCATTTAAATTTTATTCCCTGACACTACAATTTGAATATGGTCATTTGACCATTACATTGCTCTCTTCCCTATTTGTGAATATCTATATAAATATATAAAGGAGGGACATGACACCTCTCTTTGGGCAGCATTCTTATTTTTCTCTTTTCTCCTTTTTTTTTGTTGCCATTTTCCTTATTTATTTGTTAAGTATCTTTTCTCACCTCTCGAGAAAGGCGTGACTGGACAATTTTTCCGTTACAACTTTGTCCAAATAAATTTTGAAATCTAAAAGCTCTAACACTTAATTATGGAATTTGAAACGGTTTTTTATTATTAAAACAGTCATCACCACTATTTTCATACACCGACTANAATATATTTCATATGATGCATCTCATATGATGGATATTTATTTTATTGGCTTTTCGTGAGTGTATTTTTGGACTTCTTGACCCCTTTAAAATCTTTTTAATGTGCAGGTTGATGAAGAATTGAATAGAGTGAATGTAACTGTATAATGGGCAAGTAGTCTTTCCTCAAAACTCATTTGTACAATTCAAGGAACAGGTACACAGGTAACTCTCCAAGTATAACCATTCATCTTTTCCTCTTTCCTTGTAATTGTTTATTTATTTCTTAGATATGTTACATCTATGACTATTCATGTTCTCTTTAGTGGTTCCAATTTTTTTTTTTCAGTAACTATTTTTTCGATAATTTATCACCCATTTTGTTATTAGTAGAAGAAAGTGTTTGCCATGACACTTTTTTTTTCCTTTGTTGGCTAGGACTTTCCGCCAGTCATCATAGTCTCATTTTTCCAATTTTCTTTCTGTTAAAAAGGTTGAAGGGACTCCAAGGAAAGCGTGTAAGAGACAAAGACTTTATTAGTTCGATGTTGGCTATTTTTTGCATATTAATTGCGTCGTGTTATGTGCTGTGCTGCATGAAGTTATATTTTTAGTCCTTTCGTTTATCGTTTCGGTGAAATATCAAGGATTGGAGATAGCATTGCATATTGGCTAATTTTTTGGTTCTGGAGTTTCTATGTCCAATTATGTAATTTTTGCTATTGAATCTTTCTACTAATGAAAAGTTTCGATTTTATTTTAGGGAAAAAAGAAGTGTCGGGAAAAAATAATATTTTATTTGGTATCAATCCTTGAGTTTCTATGTCCGATCGTGTGATTTTTGCTCTTGGATTTTTCTACTTCTGAAAAGTTTTTATTTTGTTTTAAAGAAAAAATAGTGTTTGGAGAACAATCGAACTTAACATCCAAGATAGTATCTTTTAATAATCTATTTAAATTTAATTTGTTAATGTTAGGCTTGAGTTAATTGTATCAATTCTTAAGTTAGACGAGATATTTTCTTTCGTATCAATCTGTTATCATGTTATGCTTGAATTAATTGTATCAATTCTTAGGTTAGAAAAGATTTTCTTTTGTTTGGTCTTAACAACATTACTATTCTCGGTAATCCTTTTTCTTTAATCCATTATTGTGTTATGTTTCAATTATTATATCAATTCTTAAAGTTATTGCAGTAATTGTTATTATTTTTTGATTTTCTTTTAAATCAAAAAATAAATTTAGCTCCAAATCAGACATTCTAGTTCTAGAAAGAAAAGAGAAGTAGGAAAAAAAAGGGAAAAAGAACAAAGATCCTTTTCGGAAAGAAGAACAGAACACCCGCATGAGCACGCGTACTCGAAATATAATGTACACCCGCGTGTACATGGCTGTATCCTCTCTCTCTTCAACGTTCCAGCCATACACCAACTCATAGGCAATATCTACCTAAAACACGCACTTACCCGCACACCGTGAGTGACTCTGTTTGAATTCTTGTGCCGTAGGATGCCTCCAACATTTTTGCTATCCCTGATTCAGATCAAACGGTTCAGATTCCTCCCTGTCTTGTTTTAGATCTCCATTTTTCTTCCTTTTTCCATTTTCGTCTTTCCCTCGATTGTCGCAGCAAATATATATATATATATATAGAGAGAGTACAAGATATTAATTAATTGTGTACTTTCTTTAATAGAACCTTCAGCTCAGTTCAGATCTCTCTTTGTTTAAATAGCCGATATTTTATTCCCTAACAGATCTGTACGGTACAGCCCTCAGGTATGTGCGAACTCAAATACCCATGTGATTGTCTTCTTTCTTTCCGAATCTGTTAGGCGATCTTTTTTACTTCATGATTTTCTTTTTCTGAGTATTGTTCCAAATAATTGAAATCATTTCCTAATATAGAAGCTTCAGGCAATCGACTCAAAATATTTAATTTGTTATCCATATAGTCGATCCCTGCTAGCTTGTTCTTGGATCTACTAGTATGGATTTGACAGCTCAAATCTTGAATTTGTGACATTCCAATTGGTGATTTGCAGAAAAGAGGAGATCTACTTTTGGCTTGCCATGGCAACGACCACTATCCGAAAGGCGATAGGGGCGGTGAAGGACCAGACAAGCATAGGAATAGCCAAAGTGGCGAGCAACATGGCACCGGAGCTGGAAGTTGCTATTGTTAAGGCTACAAGCCATGATGATGAACCTGCTGGAGAGAAGTACGTAAGGGAGATTCTCCAATTGACTTCTTATTCTCGTGGCTATGTGAGTGCCTGTATGTCGGCAATTTCCAAAAGATTGGGCAAAACCCGGGATTGGATTGTTGCCCTCAAGTGTTTGATGCTAATTCACCGACTTCTCAATGATGGAGATGCTGTATTTCAGCAAGAAATTATGTATGCTACGAGGAGGGGAACAAGGCTGCTCAACTTGTCGGATTTCAAAGACGAGGCTCACTCGAATTCGTGGGATCATTCGGCTTTTGTGAGGACTTATGCTTTGTATTTGGATCAGAGGTTAGAATTGATGGTTTTTGAGAGGAAGCAAAATGGTAGTACTGGTGGAGAGATTGAGAGGTATGGATCTAGAGAAGAACATTTTAGATCGCCCCCGAGTTCTAACCGAGGGCATGAGTATGATTTTGGGGAGTTTAGAGATGAGCCTGGTTATGGAATGAGGAGGTCGAGATCGTCAGGGGATGTGCGAGAGTCAATACAGGAGAATAAAGAAGTGACTCCATTGAGAGAGATGAAGCCTGAGAGGATTCTTGGAAAGATGACTCATTTGCAGAGACTGCTAGATCGGTTTTTATCTTGTAGACCGACTGGTTTGGCTAAGAATGAAAGGATGGTGTTAGTTGCCTTGTACCCTATGGTGAAAGAAAGTTTTAAGATTCATACAGATATATGTGATGTTTTGGCTCTTCTGTTGGATAAATTTTTTGATATGGAGTTTGAGGATTGTGTCAAGGCCTTTGATGCCTATGCTAGTGCAGCAAAGCAGATTGATGAGTTGGTGGGATTCTATGACTGGTGCAAGGATATTGGTGTGACAAGGTCGTCAGAGTACCCAGAAGTTGCGAGGATTACAAGCAAGCTATTAGATACATTGCAAGAGTTTGTGAGGGATAGGGCTAAAGCAACGAAGAGTCCTGAGAGGAAAGTAGAGAGCCAGTCGACTCCACAGGAACAGGAGCCAGCACCAGATATGAATGAAATCAAAGCATTGCCACCACCAGAGGATTATACTCCTCCACCGCCTCCTGAACCAGAGCTTCCCAAGCCTGTTGTACAGGAAACTGGCGATTTGGTGGATTTGAGGGAGGAGGGTGTTACTGCCGATGATCAGGGGAATAAATTAGCCTTGGCATTGTTTGCGGGGTCAGGAACAAGCAATGCAAATGGGTCATGGGAAGCATTCCCATCCAATGGGGAAACTGAGGTTACGTCTGCTTGGCAGAATCCAGCGGCTGAGAGTGGTAAGGCTGACTGGGAGCTTGCTTTGGTGGAGACAGCAAGTAATTTGTCTAAGCAGAAGGCGGCATTGGGTGGTGGACTTGATCCACTATTGTTGAATGGCATGTATGATCAGGGTGTGGTTAGGCAACATGTAGCCACTGCGCAGTCGAGTGGTGGCAGTGCCAGCAGTGTGGCGTTGCCGGGACTAGGGAAAAGTGCTACACCTGTTCTGGCACTCCCTGCACCTGATGGAACAGTCCAGACAGTTGGACAAGACCCCTTTGCTGCATCTTTGAGTGTTCCACCACCTTCTTATGTGCAAATGGCAGATTTGCAGAAGAAAGAGCAATTGCTAGCACAGGAACAGATGGTATGGCAGCAGTATGCCAGGGATGGCATGCAAGGTCAAATGAGTTTGGCCAAGATCTCTACTGGAGGATACTATGATCCAGGGCAACCCCCTGCGATGTCCTATGCAATGCCGCCAGTAAACGGTGCAGGGTACTATGCTCCTTATTGATTTTGCAAACTATAGTTTTTTTTTTTTGGAGTTTGATCTTTCCACTGTATTTTATTGATGAATATATCTTCTATTTTTTCATGCTTTTAGCTAGCGTAGTTGGTGAAAGTGGAAACTGGGTTGAAGAGGGCAGAAATTGGTGGTCTTGTTGGGTGGTGGGGGGGGGGTGGTTATAGATTCTTATGCTGAATGCTCTGTAACCCTTGTAGTATGTCTCTTCTGTTTTGTAATATATGAATTTTTCGAAGAACTTGATTAAGTAATTCTTTTCGAGATGTTAGTGTAGCTCCATTGCAATCATTGTTACTTCTTTATAAATCTTGATTCTTTGAACTATGTAGCATTCTTACACTAGTTTCTTAAATATTGATTGTGTTGATAGATACTTTGTTTTGAGAAGGGTGTTTAATTTATCTTGATATCAAATATTTTGTTATGAACCTGATACGTAGAGCCTTCATCTTAAGCTGCTCTAAACCAGATTCTAGGTCGGTCTGTCTTGTGAGAGAATATGGCGTGGGCTGTCTCAACTTTGTCATAGATGCTTTGACTTTGGTTTGATTGGATTCGGAAGCATACTGATTGAGCAGCTGGATCAAGGCAAGGTTTCTCTTCTCATGCGCAGCGGTGTATATGATTTGTATATAGTAATTAATTTCGTCAGTGCATTTGAACTTAATTGTGGAATCTTGTTCATTGTATCGTCCGATCCAGGCCCCAATGAAATAGGACGAAATATTCTTTCATTCAAAGCCAACTCACTCTCAGGGAATGTGAGCTTTGCAATAGTTCAAGATGGAATGATTGAGCTCTTGCCTAAGAGAAGAGCTTAATAAAGCATAGATGAATTTTCGACAACAAAAAAAGCTTTTCTCCCAGGTTGAGGTGATAGAACAGATTATGACCGATGAAGTCTGATGCGTGCATATACTACAAAAGATCTGTTAAATTTCGGAGACTAAATAGAACATCTGCAAATTGCACGAATTGGGGCAGTTGGCCTAAGATCAGCAAATTTGATGCAATTTTCAGGGGTTACGGACCCCTGCAGTAAAGATATTTTGTTTTACGAAATCCTTCCCACGGGGCCTTTTCCCCCTCTCTGATTCTTTCCCCAAAATACCTTCGACTATGCTAAGCTGCAGCGACAGAATCCTAACCCTAATCCCTCTCTTTGCGATTCAAGCTCCGCCTTTCAGCATAGCAGCCACCAAACACTCTCCTCCGCTTGCTCTTTCTCAATCACTGTCTCTCTCCACACACATGGAGTCATCATAGCTGCAGCAGGGATGATGCAGCGGTCCTCACAGCAGCTGAGTCTTAGTCTCTTAGAAGATAATGATGAAGGACCAAGCCTCTCTTTCTCTCTCTAACAACTATGAAGAAGAAGATGAAGTGAGTGTATGCATGTCACTCATCCTCTATCTCTTCTCTCAACATCCTTCTGATAGGTACACGATTTCTGAGAAAAACTTATTTGTTAAATTTTTATCTTCTTTCCTGATTTTCCTTTTCTTTTTGTTTCAGATTGAGCTCAATTTCGTTGATTTGAAGGCTTCTCCAAGCTTATAGGTAGATATAATGAAAATTCTGTTTCTCTGTTTAGCAATATTTTCTCCAACTTATGTATTTGCTTTAGTTCCATTATACTCATGAAGTATTCATCAATTTCACACAAAAAATCGTTCCATGAACAAGCTGGAAATTAATTGTTAAATTTTTATGGCAACTTTCTTTTGATGTGAAGGATGATTTTGGAGAATTGTATAAAATCAGGTTCAGGCCAATGAAGAAAGTATTAGTGTTTTTAGAAGTTTGAGCTATTTAATCAGATATGCTTCACTATAGCCTCGCATGGGCGTGTAAAGAAGAATTACAAAGCAAGCAGAAGAAAAAAGAAAAATTTAATGCGTAGAGCAAGATGTTTTGTCTAGCCAGAGAGGATAAGTGGAAACTTCAAGAAATCTGAGTTTCTGAGTAGCATCAGAAACTGCATTTTCTTAATATTCACCTTGAATATCAGTTCTATGTTGTTGTAGCACAGGCTCTTACAAGTTACTATTATTTATGCCTTCGCTTTTAAAAGTGTTACTGTGCTTGATATTAATTCTTGATGCATATTTATTCAGGGAGCTTTTGCTCTATTATAAATGATAGTTTGGAGTGTGTCGATAAATAAGCACTGATATTTTGACATCATGTCCCTTTCTGAATTGAACTGACTCACTTATTCTAGGTGAAGCAACTTATATGCTCTTGGATTGAATTACATTTGTTCAGGATTGTCTGAGGGAATAATGATGTTTGGCAACTTTTTTAAGCCTTGTGTTTACCTATCTGAAAAAGTTGTCGGAGATGTTCCTTTGATAAGTATCTTGGGATTCATTATGTTGTTATTTTAAAATTGAGTACACCACGCGTAGCCTGATTGCCTAACCTGACTACCTTCTATATACTGAATATCGCTTATACTCATCTCAATATGGTATTGCCTTTTTGGACATAGTTGCTTGGTACATGTTGCCGGTGGGAAGAATGAGTCGAGCTGCATGCAAGCTGATTCGGACACCACGGTATATATATATATATATATATATATATATATGTTTCCACAATTGCACAACTATTCCTATTATAGTTCCTATTCAAAATTTGCCTTTCCTAGTTGCTGTATCTATAATAACTTCTTTGTTACATCCAGATTTTTTCTTATAGCTATTAGTTTAGTTTTGTTTCTCTTAGTTTCGGCTCACATAGTGGTTGAGCTACACAATGTTGCATTGCATTTCATTATAGCACTTATTGACGGGTCATCATGGTCTGGAAGATGATTTTGAGTTTATGTGAGCTACACAAGTTACCAATCTCTTTCATGTTACCACGATTGCACAACTTTTTATACTCTCTTAATTCATTTTAGATGAATGATGAATATCGTATGCAGGTAATATTTCCACAATTGCACAACTATTCCTATTATACATATAGTGTTTGTATGATCTGAATACCTTAACAACATATAATCTTGTATATTCTTCTATCTAAAATTATGTAAATGTTAGTATGATGCTGAAGAGCTAGTTTTCTTACTTCCCCACGTGCCCCTTAAAATTTGCACTAGGTCAGTTAAAGCTAATTTAGCATGATTTAGTGGAAGTGGACAGTTGGCTGATTATTATGTGCCTCTTTTTGCTGTTTTAATTGTGGTTTTCGTTTTTTAGAATACATAATGACATTAACAAGTTATTGCAGATTTCTCCTGCATTGCTGACTATGAAAGATGTTATTCTGAAGAAATGAGTAGATCTGTAGATGCCAAGCTTTTTCCTTGTTGCAACGTCTGCTCATAAAGTGCCTGAAGAAGGCTCAATTTGGAGAACAAGTGCAGTTTGAAATAAACATTGTGTATATGAAGACGTATATTTCCCCCCCTCATTTTTAACTTCTTTGGGCATAAAGATGTACCTAGAATTTGATGACTTGCGATATTGCTTACATTTTATGATCAATTGAACACTGATGTTTCTATTACAAAAATACCTTTGGCTTGATTATGATAATAATGATTGTATGGGTCTAATTATGAAGTTTGTGTTACATATGCTAAAGGGGGCATTTGCATCTACACCCGTTTTTTGTGTCACGTTTTAACTTGTGTCCGCTTTGCAAAAAAAATTGCAAGCGTACCCGTTTTTCGCATAACTTCAACATACGGGGTTGACGTAACAAAGGCAATCACGCAAAACTTCAGCATTCTAGTAGTCGGGCCTGAAGTTCAACTCTAGAGCTGAAGTTTTTATTTTGTAACTGGCAAACTTCAGCTCTAGAGCTGAAGTTTTTGTTTTTTAACTGTCGAATTATTTGGAAGCTCGCTTTAGAGTAGAATCTGCTCAAATAAACCGAGGATCCATCCATCAAACAACTTGCTAGTTTGTTAAAATCTTTGGGGTAGTGGCAATAATCTTTGTAGATTAGACAAACCAACTAGTGTTGTATATAGTGTTTGTTAAATAAAACTCTGTAACTTGCTATTAATGCTGGATAACGTATTTTCGATATCTCTATGTTCAGCGGTCCAGACCGCTACTCTGTATCTTACTGACGCAACAATTATAATTTGTTTTTAAATAATCTGCACCAACAACAACAGAAGAAAGAAGAAGAAGAAGAAGAAGGAAACAAATGAGGAGAAAGGGGGCTGAAGTTATTTAAAAAGTGGGTACAAGTTAAAAGTTTAAAAAAAAATAAGTATAGGTTAAATGGGGGCGACCAAATAGGGCGCCCCGTGCAATTTTTACTATGCTAAAGGTGTTAATCGAGCCCGGTTGGCCCACTAACAACCCGGTTCGACCTGGTTCAGCCCGGTTCGTTAAGGGGTGGGACTGGGACTGGGACGGGTTGGCTAGGATAGGGGGTTGTGCCGGATGGGGTCAGGCCTTTTTTTTGCTACCGGTGCACCGAAACCCGGGTAGCCAGCTAACCCTTCCAACTCGGTCCAGCCCGGTTTATGTTGTAATTTTTTTGTTTTTAAATCTGACCGTTGCCAACGGTCAAAATCAAAACTGACCGTTGGGCAATGGCTATTTTTTGCACTTTTAGCCATTTCGGCCCATCTCGTTACTAAAATAGCCCCTCCACCCCTTAATTGATAAATTATATTCTTAACCTTTTAATAACTATAAATAGCCCCCCTCTTCTTTATTTTTTTCACAACTTGCTCTCTTCTTCTACTCTAATTCTCTCTAAATTCCCTTTTGATTATTGAATTGCTTATTGCTCTCAAGTTCTCAATTAATTAATATTCATCAATTATTACCATTATCAAGTGGTTACCCTTGATAATTAATAATTAATTATCAATTAATTATCATTAGAAGTTGTAATTAATTGATAATAATTGATTATCAATTATTATCAATTAATAAGTTTTATCAATTATATATGGTAGCCAATACAAAATTACAATTATCAAGTGAAGTGTGGTTACCATTTTTGTTAGATTCAACTTAAATCATGCCCTGTGCTTCTAGAGTGCGTTCACATATTTGGGAATACTTTGAGGTGGTAGAAAAAAATGAAGAAGTTCGCAAAGTAGAGTGCAAGAACCATGGTCGACTCTTTAATATTCATCGAAAGTGGGAGGGCACAACTGGTTTAAGGAGGCATATTACGGGTTGTCTTGTGCGTCCTACAGGAATTCGTATTTAAGTTGATTTGAGACAATTTGGTTTATTTTGAATTTGTTAGACTTACTTAAGCTTAATGTGTAAGTTTATAAGACAAGTTAATTTAAAGTATTATTATACAATAAAAATTACTACTATATATAAATGGTCAAGGAGTACGAACTCTGCAGTTCCAAATTGTATAGAAAGTTAAGTTACTTGTATATGCACTTGATGCTCTTTTATTGGGGAATGATATCTTTTCTCCATTTCTATTAACACGTGTTGTGACTCTTTTTTCAGAAAAACCAGCTGTCATTTGAAAAGCTCCATTTTACATTTCAATTGCTTCAGATGACAAACACGTGGTCCATTTGATAAGATGTATTCCAACTCTTATGATCTTTGTTTTTCTCCTTTTTCATCTTCCAAGTCCGTTACTTTGCTTTCTCCACTTTCTCCACATCAATCTCTTTCTAACTATTCTTTGCTCAAAGGGGAGAGTTCCAGAGAACAATTAATTTGTAGAGAAAAAAGGGGAGCAGTTCTGCGACCGAGGTTTCTTCTTTTTATTTTTTATTGATTTGTTCTTATTCTATGTCATTGCATTGATATGTTCTTTTATCTCTTCTTTTGCTTTTATACTTCTTCTTCCATTAAGAACTCCAATTTGCTGCGTGAAAGAGGAGAAATTTTAAGGACTTTGTTCACAGGTATTATTTCGTATTTTTTTTGGGTATTTCTAACTTTTTCTCTCTTTCATCTAAGCATTCTTTTTTTCCTTCTATTTTTTCTGCTTAAAGTAATTTTTACTTTAATCTTGAAAAGTGAAAACTAAAAACATGTGCTTAGTTTTCAGGTTGTTCCGATAATTTATATGAAAAAAGAACGAAGGAAAAGAAAACAACTTAATGTAGCTTGTTGTACAGAGTATGTTTTTTTTCCTCTCTTTGGGTTCCGTTGGTTTCCTCTTATTTTTGCAAATTCTTGTGTAGTCAGTGCCTCTTTCATTGGCATGAATCTGTAGTAAGTATGAGTCGGATGAATCTTATACGAGAAATGCATATTGTAGAGCTCGTGTCTCAATAGGTGTTACATCCTTCCGTATACTTCCATCGTATCTTATTGAGAGGATTCATATCCGGTAGGTCTGCAAGAAACACATCCGGAAACTCCCTCATTACTGGAACTGACTAGAGAGTAGGAGTATCAACACTAACATCTCTGGCGAAGGCTAGATACACTAAACATTTTTTTCCAACCATCCGTTGAGCCTTCAAGAATTAGATAACTCTGCTAGGAGTGCAACATAGAGAACCATTCCACTCCATCTTCGGCAACCCTGACATAACCTATGTCACGGTCTTAACATGACAATTAAGAATAACATTGTATGGAGGCAGCCAATACATACCCAAGATCACATTAAAATCCACCATATCCAATAATAGAAAGTCCACTCTCATCTCAAAACCACATATGGTGATTGTTGTACCCTATTTTGCACTAGACAAAATAAGATTCAACTTGTGGTTTCTCTGTTGTTGATAAAAGAGAGTCGCCACCTTATATTTAAAGGTATACTAGGGTACCTATTAAATTATTAATTTATATTTAGTATTGGTCTGCTAACCGGTGAGATTATGGGTAAGGGTTCTTGTTCTTCTAAGGGGAGGTGTTAGGGACCCCTTAAAATCTACCTAAGGTAGCTCCATATGACTTAGACTAATTTTAAGAGGTATGCTATTTGTACTATGCTTATGATGTTTTATACTTCAATACCACACAAGAGGGGGGAGGGAGTGATTTGTGTGGTACCCAATTTTCGCTTAACTGAATTATAGAAGGACCTGGTTCTTCTATGTGTTCCAACTCCTACTGTTTGTGGAATAATAAGTAAAGAAAATAAAGAACACAGAGATTTTTACGTGGAAAACACCTGGCTCAAAAGGTGAAAAAATCACGACCTACTTCTCAGTAGAATTTTTCCAAACTTTCACTAAAATCACTAAGCCAAAAACTGCATTTACAAAAACTCTTTGTAAACCTAGGATTAACTCTAATACTGTTATGGCACATAGCCTCAACTGCTGCGACAACTTTAAGTTAACTCTAACTTGAACACTCTAGGTACCTAATACAATTGCTTTTATAAAAGCTGAAAAGTACAATGTAAAATTACCTACTACGATTAAATTAGAATAAAAGATAAACACTTGGAACTGGTTCTTCTATCTCGTTCAATTAGCTTCAGGATTGCACACTTGAATCACACATAAATTGCTTGCAAAATCGCCTTGCTCGTTTGCTCTCAATT